TTTTGCACTCTCCAAATCCAGATTGTTATTGGTAGACAGACGATAAAATTAATCTGAACGGACAGGTTAAAATTATTTCGCAGAAAGAGAGATCGTTTTAAACAATTTATTAATATAATCGAATATATGCCTAATAAAATATTCGTTTTACTGCAGCTGTTATATATTATCGAGCTAATAAGTCATTCGCTCACTATAGTAGCAAAGTAGAGGTCTAAAAAATGTAAAACATTTTAAGAATAATGGGAGGGGGGGCAGAAGTGGAAAATTTTATCACGATTCTTACAAACATATCAATTTTTCAACCATTAGCGCCATCTACATTTTTCTTCAATTTTGGTAAAAATGTATATTTCCGAAAAGTCGATAGGTCGCCAAGGTTTTGACATCGTATATATATTTATAAAAGGTGTCTAAATAAAAAGCAAAAAAAAAATTCGAAAACAAACTTACTATTTTGCCTAAAAATACAGGTAAGGAAATTTAGGTAAACTGGATGTTAAAAGCCTATAATGGCGCCAATATTTACTATTCTTTGTTAGCCCATTAGAGAATTTCTTTACCTACAAAATGATATATTATAATTTCTTTTATTAAAAATAGTTTTTGAGATAAAAGCATTTTAAAAATTTTACAGATTTCTAAAGTGGCTCTTTTTTGTACCTTTGAGCCCCTATATCTCAAGAACCAGGTGCGTTAGCGAGCTAAAATAAACGGCTTTCTCATTCTTTTACCTATCTAAATTATTCCAGAAATTTTTAACAATTTTAAAAGGGGTCGGCCGAAAAAGTGCTTTTTTGATCGATTTGACACTATAAGCTCTTTTTAGAGCCATCGATATTTTTAAAATATACATTCACTTTTAATATATATATATTCATTTTTTATATTTTGTTTACATGTTTTAAAGATAAATGAATAACATAGAAAAAAAAAATTACGAGATGAATAATCTTTTGTGAATTATATCAAAACTGATAAACATATAATTTTATATGACGTTCCCTTTTGGAAATATATTCATGCACTCTTTTAATCATATTGAGGGAATGAAGTTGCAAGGGGGTAATTCCATACCAAATCGATAACTTTTCTGCCCGACCTTTTTAATTTCGATAATATTTTGTATGCTGAGAGAATATCATTTGAAAGCATCGAATCCAAAGTTTTAGCCTCCTAGTACTCATAGTTCCTGAGATATCAATGGTCAAATGAGATTATTTAGCTGCGGTTATAAAATCATTTTTTTTTATAAAAAATTTTAATTTTCGATAAATTATTTTATAAATTTTGAAGATATAATAGATAACATGAAAGATATTACCTATTTTCGGTTTTTCATTAAATTTAGTTTTTTTGACGCCATGATAATTTCGTTTTGCGATAAATTATATCGTTGATGGGCTAACTATTGTTAAAATATTATTTTTTGGTATGAAAAGGATATCTTGTGCAGTTGGATAAACAAAAGAATTTGCTGGTCCTTTAGGGTGAAGAAAATTAATTTTTACTTCATCTCTAATTGCATTCACTTCTTGTACAAATCCTAACAACCAATCGTTTTCATATGCACATGTTACTTATCCTCTAATCTCATCGATTAACAGATTCTCAATCAAAGGATACTCACGTGGATATACTATATTCTCCACAATAAATGTCTGCGAATTAGAATATAGTTTAGTGTTGAGTTTAGTTAAGACAATCGGAAACACTGCATGAATTTTTTGTGTACCAGGTATTGAGATAGATTTACTAAATCTCTTACTTAGCCTTATCTCTTCTTCCTCATACTCTGGTATAGTTACATAAGAAAAATTTATACCTTTTATATGCTCTTCCGCATATTTATAAAATTGTAAAGGTGTAATTATTTGATCAATATAAGGTCTTTGTAAGCTTGCCTTGGCAACTAACCGTTTTACTATGCCGCCTATGCCGTCGCAGGCACTTTTACCATGTGCCATAGGAAAAAAATGCCATTCTGCTTGAACACCAACATCGATTTCATGGTAGCAAACATTGATGAAGTTTTTCCTATTTTTATATTGCGCTGCTGAACCATCAGAAAAATAGTAAATTTTTTCTGGTGGAGTGTCGAATTTATTTTTTAAAAATGAATCAAATGCGATTGGAATAAATGATGAAACAGTATTATGAATTAAGGATTCCGATATTACCACAAAACTTAGATTGTTTATTTGATCTCCTATTTTATAATAAATTGAGATTGGATGCAACGTAACTTGCGAAGTTATCCAATGATAACCCTGAACTTAGTCTTGGACAATAAAGGAATAATTTTTTGAAAAGTCACAAATAATTAGTGATTATTTTCTAAACTATTTTTAAGGTTATTGTGAAATGAACTTTGTTGTTCACAAATAAATGACATATGAGAATATTCATTTTATCGAAAAAATAATTAATAAATTCGTCTAAAGATTGAGAAATAGTCTCCAGAGTTGTTCTATCTACCGAAACCCACTGTTTAAACGTAACAAGAGCTAAATATCATTTTTTATAAATAATTTTTCGATGCATTCTTTTAAGAGTGCCGAGCCAGGACATTCGTTGCAGTCACCAAAATAATAGGTGGGTAACGGGGGGTTGCAAATCATTCTGCCTATAACATCTCTATAAGTTGTTAATGTATCCTCACCATTTTTAGTGAATGTTACTAATTCACAGCCTAAAATCAAGTTTAATATTCAGGTGTATGCTACAAACGCATACACTATGTGTTCCGCTAGCCCCTGCTAATATACAATTTTTTAGTCTTAAGCTAGCAAATTTCGAAAATCCAATTGTTAAGTTTGAATTACTCGCCTTAAAATGATTATATAATTCTTTCAAATTATTAAGAACTAACCTTTTTTGAACGTTCACTCGTTCCCCCTTTTCAGTGATAGATATGCAATCTTTTTTTCCTGGTAATACACTACTAACTTCATCACTGCAAAAAATTCTTTTAACAATATCATTTTTTTTTATTGAGATATTTTGCAGGCTTTCTATTTGGAGTTGAAAGAATCTTTCTCTAAAATGATTTTGGAATTATATGCTATATGATATGTAGCGTTGAATGTCGTTTATTTTATTTGCGCTCCAATTAGGAGGCAGAATGGTCAGCAATTGATATTTTTATTTTTAGATAAATTAGGATATTGAAATTTCATGTTATTGAGTATATCATTATTATCTTTTGTATCCGATTCTGGATTGTTAATTATTATATCTGAAATAGCTTTTGATATTTCGCTACCTTTTTTTGGATAATTTTTTTCGGTTAGTTTTTTTTCTTGATAGGAGATATTCCAATTTCATTTAAAGTTATATTGATTTTATCTATCGATGTTGATGCTATGCTGTTATTTACATATTCGCTATCAGAATTTATATTTTCAATATTTTTTTATGAAAATCGTTTGCTCACAAATATAGTGTTCCGCCCCAATGTTTGGATATTGTGTCATCCACGTCATGACTTTACGCAGGTTCTTTTTATAATTAAAGTGTTTAGATTCTTTAAAAGGATTTACGCATTTATATTTATACATTATAAATAATTTAAAGAAGAAAAATAATTAATATCTAAATATTTGTAAAATAAAAATTAATATTAGGACAGGTGCATGGAAACTTGTTTTTATCTTTCAACAATTAATTATTATATTTTCTTGTAGGAGATATCGGAATCTTAACTATCTTTTTAGGAAATTTAATCATTTATTATAAAAACTAATTTTTACAAGTTATCAATTTAGCAATAATAATAAGTAAGCCTATCAAACGATCTATATAATATTTTTTCTTGATAGTTGCTGGAAAATCTTAATTATAACAAAACACGTTATTTTATAAAGGAGCGCCATCTATTTTTGATTTTTTAAATCGTAATAATTAAAAAAACTCATGGCTGTTCCAAGTTTAAATTTTTTTTATGAATAGATATAAGGGTAGAGAATAAGAAAATATTAAATTCAAAAAAATTTGGAAAGCTAAACACTTGGAATTTTTATGTTTAAAATTTATAACGTAAATAAAAACCGCAACAATATTATTTCAAAAAAATCCTTAATATTTAATAAAAGGCCTTTAATAGAGTTACAAAATGACATATAACTTATATTTTTAAAATCATTATTTTTTAACTTATTCCAATTTCAAAAAATCGTATTTTTCGAAAAAAGGTCATTTTTGACACTTTTGACCATAGGACGATCTCAGGGACCTATATAATTTATATTAATGACCTTAGTAAGGAATCCAAAAGTATAAAAAAGTATTGATTAAAAGAAAACACAAATTGCCACATGTTTTCCTTGTATTTTAAAACTGAACAAAGGAGTGATGTTAAAAAACTAGTCAAACAATAAAATATAAGAAATATAAAGGGCAAAAATGTAAATAAATATATAAACAACATTTAACAAATATAAAAGAGGAATTTAGTATCTACTAAATTTTTTATAGGAATTGTAGGTAGTATTATTTCCAAAATATTGTTTTTTCTTATATATTAAATAAAATGGCCGGAAATTGGAAAAATCAAAATAAAAGTTTATTATCTAAAAGTATAATTTTTTATATGTAATTTTTTATTAAATTTATTAATTAAAATTAAGTTTTTAAGATATGTTTAAAGGCAGATAGTAAAAATACGTAATTTTTGCCACTTTGAACTCTATTATCTCCAAAAATTTTAATGTTAGAAGACTAAAATTTTGGCTATTTCTTAGTTACATAGCCTTCCTTTGCTTACCAAATTTTAAGAAAATCGAAGGTGGTTGTCCGAATCGGTTAGTTTGTCATGGAATAGCCCAATATTTTTTTATAATATAAGTTAAATATATTATAGTTTTTAAAGGACTTTTATATCATTTTCTGAACAATTTAATGTATGCATTAAAGTTTTGTCGGATTGATTAGTTTTTATAAGTAAAATGTTCATTGTTATTTAAAAATTATTTATTTTCATTATTTATAAATATTTGTAGGTAAAAGAAAGAGCATTAATTGTTCATGGCAATGAAGAAAATTTAAATCAAAATATGGTTTTGAAATCTCAAAAATCACAGAGTATGAGAACCAAAAAATATCAAAAACGTTTGAAGGGTATGGTATAAGTATTTTAATCGTAGATATAAATATGCATATATTGCTTATTTTATGGTACTTTGCATATAAATCTACTTAATTTGGTTAAATAATTGCATGCACATTTATAAAAAGGACCCTCCTAATGATCCCATTGTAATAAAGTATATACCAATCTTTTATTTATAAAAATGATTAATCTAACGCAAATTTACGAAAATAAAAGATTGCTATAAAATGTGGGAACCTGGAATAAGGTCTTTTTGCCCCCCATTCCAGTTCCAAAATATTCCATTCGAATTTTCAAAATGTTAATATAGTAATTAATAGTTTAAAAGTTTTTTTATGTGAATTTTTACTAGTTTAGATGATTTTAAATTTATATATATAAATCGCCATTTTTATCACATAATTTAAGAACTTAGGATGGAGGTCAGGAGCTCGATTTGGAAGAGACCAACCAAAATTGACAATCAATTATGTTTGACCCAACAACATAAATACGTTTCTCTTGAGGATAACATTAAAAGTTCAAGCTTAGAAAAAGAACGTAATAAAGAAGTCGATTCTTTTAACATTCAAGAAAGTGAAGATGTTTTCGTTAAAAAAATTTGCCAGGTGTGTGGTCATTCTGCTAATGTTGAAATCTTATAATTATTTGATTTTGATATAGTTTAATATTTAATGTAAAGTAAATATAGTATAATAATTTTTTTAGAGAATTATAATTTATTGGATTAAAATTTAATGTTGGTTATATTGCACAATTTTAAATGTACCTACACTTTGTTAAATAAATGTTTGTGATTTTTTTTTAAATATGTCGTTATAAAAAAATTTTTATAGGTATTTTGAGTTTATAATAAATCAAATTTAAAACTAAATAAGATTATTTATTATACAGGAAAGAAAATTAGGATAAATATATTTGTAAACGATTGTTATGCCATAGGCATTGCATTTTATATCAGGTTTCATCTAAAGCTTTGCAAATATCGTTCGTCTAGAATTGGAGTGCTCCACTCTACATTTTCAAATTTTGAGTTAGAAGTGGATAATAACTTATTTATTCCCAATATATATAAAAATAAAAGCTAGATTAAATATTAATTTTTACCAAAGTTATAGCTGTCAAAATGATCAATAAGCTTTTCCTATATATGATTTTAGATTTTCTCATTTTAAACATTTGTGCAAGTGGAGCACTCCAATTCTAGGTCGACGATATATTTTGCTCTAGGGTCTATTCGACCTGTGCTAAGGCCCAACATTATTTATATTGAGTACGAAATAAACAAAAATTAATAGCTTATTCCAATCTCAGAATATCCCATTATCTTTTTATCTAACAAAAAAGAAATTTTTTTTAAGTCCCGTCAGAATTATTTATTTTTAGGCCAGAGCCCAATTTGCAGAACCCTAGTTCACTGATCATAAAAAATTACTATTAGTTTTATCCCGAATTAAGCATGATATTAAATATAAAGTCCTCGCTTAATAAAATCCAGCAGTTGTGGCTACCAAATTTAGGATCCAGTCACGATCATGTCAATTTTTACCACAAGTTAGGATGAGTTAATCTACAACAAAGAATCTCATTAAAAAAAATACCCTTCTAACTTCCCAAGCCTCCACCCTTCATTTAGAATAAAACATCTTTTTTTAAAAATATTTTCTTGGTCAATCCTTTAAAAAAAAAAATTTTTATCCCATGAATTTTTTTTAAAATATGTTAATTTTTTATCCGAGATATACATATGTACAATATAAATCTATTTTAATTAAAACCGTTTAAAATCATTTAACTTTTGGATTGTTTTATTTACTTTTTGATTATCGCCTTATAAAGTTATATTATAGCTATCATAAGGAAATGTTACGTCCAATACTTTTGGCTTATTAATTAAACAGATTTATCCATGTGTGGTTGAACATTCTCAAATTATAATTTTAACCTTCACATATTAAATTACAACAGAGAAATTTCAGTATTACTACATAGTATATCTCAAAACCGACCACTTACTAAATATTCGATCTACCAAATTTGGTAGTAAAATTATTTGGAAAATGTTCATTTTTGGTTAATTTATCTATAAATACGTGCTAAACATTACCCCAAAAAATATTTTAAAAATCGTGATTTGATCGATAACCGATTTGAAACCGAAATACTGCATTGCTGGCGTTATCCATTGGAAATTCTTCATTTTTGGTTTATACCTGTACATTGACGTGTTAAGCATTATCCCAAAAAATATTATGATTTAACCGAATTTCAAGCTCAAAACCGACCACTCAATCTCATATAACGTCTTCACGAAAAGAGGAGGAGGGTAGAATTATGACTGCGCAATTGAGGAGACCAACGCCATCCAAAATTTTTGAAGGGGAAAAGGCATTTAAGGTTAGGATAAATTTATTTAAGGGGAAGGGGGTGTATTAATTAAATTTTAGATGAAATAGGGCAAGTAATAAATTAAAAAAATACTAATATATCCCATAATATAAATGAGTGTATCTTCAGTAGCTAATTTTATTAAGCAGGAACAATGAAAAATAAAAATTACAAATACTTACTAATATTATTCAAAATAATAAGTATAGTGAGAATAAGGAATCATATTGATCTGGAAACCAATTAAGCAAGTTTTTATAAAGTAGGATTTTTAAGAATAGGTATATAAAATTATTTAAATAATAAATATGTCGTACCATATCGTCCTTTTGTGATTTGGGTAAAATAAAAGGGATATTGTGCGGGTATACAAAGTGATAACCTATAAAAAAGGTAGGATCATATAATTTTAGTCAAATAATAAAAATAGCTAACCATGTATAGTATTTTTTAGTGAATTTTACAAAATAGTCAACATATGAATAAAATGGAATATTGTTAGGGGATACCTATCTATTGGCAAATTTCAAAAAAGTTAGGATCGTGAATAATTATAGAATAATATTTAAATAATAAAAATATTATAATGTCTTTTTGGAATAGATATAAGATCCCATTTAAATAAAAAGTTAACGAACCCCTTATCGTTTTTAATTGAATTATACAAAGAGGAGTATTGTTAGGCGCGATCAATGATTTGGGTGTGACGAAATGGCAAGTTTAAAAAGGTAGGATCCTTAAGAATAGATATGTCGTATTGGGATACGGAATCATATGGGATTCGAAATCCCCACGTTTTATTCGGAATCTTTATTTTTTAAATATATAAAAATATTATGAATCCCCATGTTAAATTTTATTTTTTTCTTCCTTTATTTGCCGTCTGGCTGGCACCAGAAAATTTCATTTAGAGATTTTATTTGCTATAATAAAATAAATGATATAAATTATAAAAAAGGATATAAAAAATGCCAAAATAAGAGATTTAACCCTTCAATACTCCGGTGAAAAAAATGACGTTAGTACTCGGGTGGGGTTTAATAGCCCCAATTTCAAATGTATATATCTCCAGTTATATTCAATATTTTCATTTGATATTTGGATATAAGATAGATCTAACCTTAAGCTTTTAAAATATTTTTATTTCTTAAGCCTAGATTAAAGATGATGAGGATAATTATAATTTGTGCCAAAATTTTTAAAAAAAAGCTTACTTTTTTTAAATTTCAAATATAAAATTAAAAATAACTTATCCATTATATAATCATAGTGCTGTAAACATTTTTAAAAAAATCGAACGCGTTCACGTTCAAATTCAAAAAAAGGAACGCGTTCAAGTTCATGAACGCGTTCATACGTTCAAAATTTTATGATAAATTTTTTTTTAAATTTAATTTGATATAAATAAATGCCTTATATTTTTCAACACAATATATTAGCCATGATAAAAAATAATAGTTTTATTTTGATAATATAATTATAAATACAATATAATAGAGCGATAAAAAAATAAATTTATAAAAAATTTTTCTTATTAATTTTTAATAATAATTGCTTTTCAAAATTTTCATCTGATAGGCATGAACGCTTGTCAGTTAATACAGCGTTAGCTATACTAAAAACTCGCTCAACAGGGGCAGATGAAGGGATTGCAGTGTTATACTTGATAAATAATTCTTTTAAAAGGGGGAATTTATTAAAAACATTTAATGTTTTATCCATTGTTTCAAAAAAATTGAGCTATGTTATCATCCTCCAATCTCCCCTCTTCTTCCTCGTCAAAAAAAAAGGATATCTCGGAATTGATTTTAAAACAGTGAAATATTTTTGATATTTGGGCCATGGTAATTCTAATTCATCTAATATTGAATTTTGATTTTCAGAATCTGATGATGAAATATTTATATCCATGCAAATGCTAATCTATTAAATTAAAATATAAAATATTCAAATTAATAAACTTTAATCTTATCTTCTCTAGCAGTAGCACAATGGTACGTTAATTGCAATATGAAAGAGGAAAAAGTAAAAAGTAAAAACAGCTGATTAAAAAATATAAGACTATTTTGTTAAAAAATTGGATTAAATATTAATTTTTCAAATAAATAAAAATATAAGACTTTTTTGTTAAAAAATGCGGATTAATATTAATTTTTCAAATAAATAAAAATAAAAAGTGTTTTTAAAATTGAACGAACGTAAAATTGAACGCGTTCATCAAAGAAAAGGAACGCGTTCACGTTCAAAGTTCGTCAAAAAAAAAGTAACGCCGTTCATCACCTTTTTTCAAAAAAACGAACTTCGTTGAACGCGTTCGTTTACAACACTATATAATCATGATAATTCATAATATGTATCTTTATTCTTCAATATAAAAAAAAAATTACACTAATATATTCAAATATAAAAAAAATATAGAAAATTGAAATATGCACATAAAATATTAATGTGTTCTAAACATAAATTTATTTTATATATTTGACAAAAATATTTTGTTATTTTTATAAGGAGTATAGTTTTAGGTCATATTTTGATGGTTTATTAGGCATACATTGCCTGAATAGGCATTTACCACGAAATGGTAGAAGCATTTCATCTTAGGGTTGCATATTCTGATATTCTATAAGATCTGTAGTAGTTATCAACAAATTCTTGAAAAATATTTCCAATGTGAATTGCTTTATCTACCATTTTTCTCTCTTCTCTTGTCAATATGTCATCAAATCTTATTGTAAGAATTAGAAATCTGAATCTTTTGAGTGTCAAATATCTCAAATCCAAACCCATTAGATTTCCAAAAATCTGACATATTTTGATGATTTGATTTGAAAATTCTAGCTAAATAAAGAATTCCCAATAATGCCTTAAATTCTATTACAACATCAACCTCTTTACTAGAACTTTCATATTGATCAGTCTAGTTTTTACTTATAATTTTAATTTTTTCATTTGTGATAAATAATTTCTTCAATCATTTTTGGTGATATGAAGATGAACATATCAAAACATTTTCCTGGGGTGTAAGCTTCTTTCCCATGCTCTTTTACTCCTGGCATATGAAATATTAAATTTTGTTCTTACTCTTTGATTTACAATCCTTTTTTCATTGAGTCACCTTATTTTTAGCTAATTTTATAGGGAAATAGATATGATAAATAATTTCATATTTACCTAAATAATATTTAATGTCTGTTTCAACTAGCATATCTTCTTCTTCATCTAATTCAGATTGTAAATCATGATCACTATCATAAATAAAATCTTCTTCCTCATTATCAATTACATAGTCATAATCACCTCAAATAAAATATTACAATTACATCTTAAATAATTTTTTATTTACTATCAGAATCTGCAAAAATCATAGTATATGATCAGAGTTGTTAACGCTCCTTTTT